GTCTATTATTTTAGAGTTCCAAGTCGACCCCACGTACCAAGTACACCGAGTACTGGTTCTCACCATGACACTAGCCTTCGTAGTATTGAGACGTAGTTAAGTGAATTAAGTCGTTGAATTCGTGTGATCAAAGTCATGGTGGCAAATTAGCTTTGTATAACGGAATTAGAGCCGAAAGAGAATGGAAGATTGGCTTAGTTTGTGGAACTGGTAGTTCAAAAGGTTGTGTAATATGGGTAATTATTTTGAACCCGAACCAATTTTATGTTTATGACGTAATAACATTTGGACTGGATTCAAAAATAATCACCCATATTTGAAGAACGTTCAAAAGAAACGGAAAAAAACGTAGCTGCGTTTGTTATGCATGTCGTGGCAAAGGGCACTTTGCTTATTCGTGTCTGTCTTTGGAAAATCGAGACCAACGTTTGATGGAAAGACGTCGTGTCAATGTTGGAAGAAAGAACCGTGATGATTTTGAACGAAATGTAAGGTGTAGGAAAAAAAGGTTAAGGATAATAGTAGAACGTTGAGAGTGAAGGTAAATGGAGAATTTACGAAAGTGTCAATAGGGTTGATTCGTGTTTGAATAAAATGAGCGTAAAGTATATAAAGAGTATAGTGTTTACCTGACAACATTTAAATAAGGGAAACATTGGTTGTATGGATGATGAAATCGTTGGATATATTCATGCGCTGAACTCGTCGTTAAAGGTGTAAAAGTGGTTCGAAAATTCTATGTAATGAGAGACTCATCTGTCGATGTAGTTCTTGGATCACCGTGGATCGCAGCACCTAAGTATGTTAGGTGTGAATCGATGAAGAATAATGACGATGGAGTTGATTATGTAAAAAAAGAATAGGATCGCTACGATATATGCGGGTGTTTGGAATTAAACAAGATGATAAAGTGTGTGAAAGCGTATACTAAGCATTATAACAGTTATGTAATATTAACGAATAGTAACGTTCTGAAAGATAAAAGAGGTTTTGGTACATTCTTAGAAAATATTGTGATTAAATTGAATTCTTCATGCCTGAGAGATATGACAAAAGCAAAAGAATTTGTGTTGGTGGTGGAAATGAAAATGGAGGTGAAAACATACAACAATGTCGTCCTCATAGTATTTACTATAGAGGTTCAAAAAAAAAAAAATGGAGGTGAAAAGGATAAAACAATGGACAATAGTAAAGGAGAAATTGGTAATAAAAGGGTGGTTAAGAAAATGAACATTGATGAAACAAATCAAACCGATATGGTGGAACGTAACGAACAAACGATAAAGGAATTAAAAATTCCCGTATTGAATAATAAACCGGCCGAAAGAACGGTTCCATCGATGGAATGCTCTGTGAAGTCGTTAAAAAGGGATGGTACGTGGATTCTAAAATGACGATGTCTAAAGTTGAAAACAATGTAATGAAGCGAAGGACAATTAGAAATGGAATATTGTTCATAGTCAAACGTGGCATCGACCGAGTACAACATATGAATGTGAGACCTAGTGTGATGAAAAAATTGTAATAACAGTGAATCTGGGAATCACAGATTCTGGTTAGATGAATATGGATCTTGCAAACCTCTAACTAAGAATATGATTGATGCATAAGTATTTTTCCAATTATTTCAATAAGTGTAGTGATAAGCTATTAAGGTTTATTTCATTTCCATTAACGTATCTTGCATGTATTTATTCGTATTGATTTTGATTAATGCAGAGAATTTAAAAATAAATTATTCATTCTTATTCAATTTCTTTATGTTGATCAATCGAATCATTCAAAAATAATAATACTCATTTAATTTGTTTATATTCAATATTTTTTGTATTGACTTAATCGATATTTCAATCGGTCACTCAAAGATAAGATAACATCGATTTATTTATGGTCTATTCATTTCTTAATCGATTTCTTTTCATTTATGCCTATTCAGAATACGAGTTAAGAGGGCTGTGCAAAATTGATTTTTTTGGTTTGCATTAGTGGCCGACCTATTTTTTTCAATATTTCAAAAAATAATTTTTTTTTTTTTAAAATCCCAGTTTTCGCCATTTATTTTTTTCCGTATTTTTATCCAGTGTTCACCCGATGGAAACCTTAACATCCCATAATTATCCGATAAGACCGACAGAAAAAAAAAAAAATACGAGTGAACCCAATTTTCTGCCTCCTTGTTATACAAAGTGAAAATTTTTCGTAGCTTTAAATGTGAACATTATTCTATTTCTATTAATTTTCGTAGCTTTAAATGTGAACATTATTCTATTTCTATTCATTTACAGTAGATTCCTACCGACCAACCAAATTTTCAGAGTCCATGTAATGCCAAACGAAAATTTACTTTGCGCGGCCTAATAGTCGTTTATCAAAAAATTCTAATAATTTATAATCGAAGTACTTAAGATGAACTCATTAATTTGCATTAAATAGTCTATAGTGATATTATTCTTATTACTTGAATATTAGGATATATAAAGTTGATTTTTCGTTTTGCATTATGTGCCATTCGAAATTTCGGTCGGGCGATTAGATTTTTTTATTAATCTTAACTCCTCCTTATTACAATTCCTCTGCTATCTATTCGCATAATTCATTTAAACTATTCTATTCAAAATTTTTTTTTACAAGTTCATAAACTCTAGTACATATATATATATATATATATATATATATATATATATGTACCTGTAATTTTTTAGTTATGTCTAGTTTGTTGAATTTTGCTTTACCTTTTGTAAATGTATTAAATCCTCTTGTTGAAAAAGTTATTCAAATTTTCGAGGATGTAGAATGTAGAATGTATATTGGAACGAGTAAAAATTGCGGAATCTGCTATAAAAAGAATGTCAGAACGAAATGAGAGAGAAGAGCATTATCAAAAACATCGTTTGTCTTTTTAAATTTTTGAATAAACTTAAAATGTATTAAAGAATTTACCAATGAAATGTCAAAAAGCTGCAAGGTTTTAGAAGATACTTTGATGCAACAGAAATTAAAAAAACTTCTGCGCAATGCATGATTACATTTATTGAAAAATTGGCACAAATTAGCAATTTACGACAATAATTTGAAGGAAATATCTTACGATGATTTTGAGAAATTATTTAAGTCGTAGTATATCTTGAAAGTTTACCAGACTTCTTGTAAATCAATTAAGAGTAAAAAGGTTGCTATAAAAGAAATATACGTCGCAGACGAAGTTTGTGCAGTTGTTGTTTAGTGAAGATCCATATAAATCGTCACATTATTCAAATTATACGCACATTGATATAATTTTCAATATTCTATAATGTTTAATTAGTTAAAATTACATAACCCATGAATTATCCAATTTTATGGAATAAGTAAAAGAAAAAGCGATGATTAGAGATTTTATATCCTTTTTTATGTAAATGTATTCTTTTATTAAATTTAATCATGGTAAAGAACATAATAGTACCTTATGATGGAATACTCAGACTGTGGGACTTTATAACAATATTTGAAGATCGTTAAGTACAATTAATCATTCATCGTGATTTGGTATGCATTACAGTATAGTATTTTAAAATAATTTATTTAAAATTATTTTAATCTAATAAGTGATACAGATTTTCTTAACATTCGAAGGACATCTCCATTCATCACGGAAACATAAAAATTAGCTGATTTTGACTTATCAAAAAAATCTCAATAGTATAACCTCAAAAGCTTTTCAACCAAATTAAAAAATCCGACGTTTATAGTATTGGTGTCCTTTGAGAAATTTCAAGCTATAAAATCCCTTTTAACGGAAAGGATTTAATTGGACTTTGTATGGAAATTTCTAGAGATGGAAACCCCATAAATGGGCTCCCTTGCAATATCTTGAATTATATTCTAAATGCTGGGATGAAGATCTTCTAAACGACCTGTAACGAAACCAATTCTTAATGACTTGAATACTCTGGAATGCGAGCCGGTTTATTTTGAATTTGATGGAATTTTAGTATTTACCTGAAATGAAAAGGTTTATTGAACTAGCCTCCACATTGGAACAAGCTTGTAAAGTGCTAATAAATAAGAAAAACTAAAGTCATGAAACCAAAAGTTTAAAACTCACTTGGGATGTTCTAAATTTAGAAACACTTTTGATACAATATCTTTTTAGTACTTATAAAGTTGTTTTACATGTTCAAGCACAAAGTTCTCGCGAAGAGGATTAAAACCACATGCACCAAAATCAATAACTACCTTCATTATTATAAATGCCCTTTTTCATCTAATTATTTTTCGATATTTAGGATAGATAAAGTTTTTGTTTTTCAATATAATTAATTGTTTTTTATTTGTTAAAATCGCTTATCTCAAAATAAGCATGAAGTACATTTCAATTCTCAAGTATGTAATATAAAAATGATGAATAAAAAATTTCTTTTTTAGAAACTTAGAAATGCAGAAATTTTGCTAAAAAACTGAATCAAGGTGAAATTTATATACAATAAAGAAGTTAATAAATCTAATCTACATGGGAAAATTTTAAATAGCGATTACTAGCGGCAGGAGCGATTGACATTGATTAGAGCAATGTTCCATAGCTTCATGAATGGCAACTTAATCAGAAATATCCATTTATCAAATTCGTCAATAGCGCAGATCCCCTAATTGAATGACAATGCATATAATTATTACCCTATTTAATTTTGACCGGTCTGCTTTGCCATATAAATTTATGCGGTGTAATGGTCTTTCTTTTTACCCCTATTTAATTTTGACCGGTCTGCTTTGCCATATAAATTTATGCGGTGTAATGGTCTTTCTGCATTTGATAATGTA